GAGAGAGAGAGAGAGATTTTTTAAAGTTAATGTAGAGAGAGCACATGGGCCCATGTGCAGCCGAGTTTTTCGTCATTGACCTCAGTGTTGCATTTTGGCGAATGATTTATGACTTTAACTTTCAGATGTCCAGAACCTACGAAACTGTCTCTTCACTTCTATTTGTTTTTTATTCCTTGGGTTCCCTAACATGGTGAAGCTCTTAGGAATGAAATGTGATATGCCATATTCTGATGCCCTTATTGATTGATTACATAGACAATTTGACATTTATAACATGTTTTAGTTACTCTTTTGTGCAGGTTATCTTGCTATCACATTCATCACTTAGGCGCTGCAGTGAAGAACTTGCACTTCTTGACAAGAATGCTATCGCGACCAAATTAGATTTAGTGAGTAATGTTCTGTGTGGCTATATTTCTGGTCATCACTATTTGTTGAATTTGCCTGTTATCCAGATAACAAAACTATATAACAACTTTAGGTAGTGGTACCATGCTATGGTACCATGAGTTTTTGTTTTTCTTGATATATTTTACTTCAAAGGGTATTTGTCTGATTTATACAGTATTAAAAATGTCATTGTACTCCCTATATGGCATAAACTCTCTTCTGCCGAAATTGCATACCCTGCTTCGATTAACGTTCCTTATTATAACAAGTGATCTTTGGTAACTCCAAAACTCTTGATACTGCATATAGTATGAAGAGGTTTCCCTGATGTATTCATGTTGTGCTTATGGTAAAATTTATACTTGGTGTCACGTTTGTTTCGTTGTTGTTTTTCTTATCAAGCAAATCTATAAGTATAAACTGCATCCTTGAACTACAACACCACCTCGGATTTGAACTCATGTATGCTCAACTAATTTGCATGCTATTAGAACAAAACGAGCATAATTCTATTTTGTTTTGTCTGATATGCCTATGAAACACCTCGTGGTAACCAAAACACTATGGACATGTGTTCCTGCATAATTCTCAAAGTACATATGGTTTGAACCCAACTTATGGTCAAGATGCTTATGACCCAACAATTAGAGTTTACTTGCCTCCAAGGCTGGAAATTTCTTTTAGATGGCCAAACAGATGGCTTGGAGATTGGCAATAACTCCCTACTAAGTTAAAGGGCAATGGCATCAACAAATGGCTGCGCAAAAAAAAAATGGTAGACATACTCTGTAAAGGTGCATAAGGCCGAATTACATTCCCTCGCTCATCCTTAATAAACTATTGCATCCAATTGAAAGAAATGGCTACGTGGAATTCAAGGGAGTAAAATAAATTTTTTTTTCTCTACTCTTTTGTTAATGTATCTGAATTCCTCTTACAGGCTTCTACATACCACTACTATAAACAAGAAATAAAAACCTAAATAACTCGGATCTTAACCTTTTACTGCCAAATAGAATAGATACTATCCAGGATCTAAAAACAAGTTTTCACTTTAAATTTTATTAAATAATGTTCCTAAAAATTCAAATAAACAAGCATAGAATGATTGGAAAATAAAACCAAACAGTTGAGAAGACTTACTTGAATTTTCCTAGGTCACCCCCTTAGAACGTAGTACACGCCACACCGAATTTCCTGACCTATGACATATTTTTAACCTATTGGCCCTGCTGAAATTTTTGAGCCAGGAAGCTTTCTTAGGCAATACCTTCAGATCTAGGATTTTAAAAGCATAAACAAGGTTAGGGTTTCTAGACTCCTTTTAGGCCTAGGGCATGCCTTGAAAGGCATCTCCCTTGGTCTTACTATAAGCTGGTTGTGTCCCTCTCTGTTATCCTTGGGTGGTATACCACCCCTAGTAGCCTAGGATGGTGCGTGTCACCCTTTGGTGACTAAAGAGGGGAGAGAGAGAGAGAGATAGAGAGAGAGAGAGAGAGAGAGAGAGAGAGAGAGAGAGAGAGAGACGACGAGTAGTAGAGAGAGTACGGACCGGTCCCTCCTTACGTTAACGTAACGGTACGTACGGTACGTTAGTACGTACTACGTAACGTAATAGTAGTATACTACTACTAAC